GATAAAGGAATCGACATGTGTGCTTGTTGAGGTGACTCGATGACGGGTGCAACTTCTCCCGTATTAATTTTCCGAACCTTCGATTTCTTCCCTTTGGTTGAACTCGAAGTTGCCTGCAAAATGTTAGAATGTTATTATACATTATCTCTATACTGACTTCATGACCTCTGGATACACAAAATTGGGCATTACCTTAACTTTGTTCGAACTCGCTTCCAATGGGCTCTTCTTACGAAATTCCTTAAGCGCACATTTTCTTTTCGCACAATTTGGATCCTTATACTACCACTTCCAGTATCATGTGATGCTCCACACTCGGATGCTATTTGAGTAATATGCGGGGACAAGACATTACTACTACTGCTTGATTTTAACGTCATCATCTATTTATACTGACTGTCGATCCAATCAATTATAGTATTGGATTTGACTTCATTGTCTGTAGTCATGTTGGCCAATATTGCAAAGCGTTGACACATTTTGTCGCACTTCAACTGTCAAGGAGTACTAATCAAACCATCATAGTTCACTAGGACCCTCACATGGGCTCTACTGACATCTCATCGCCATCTACGTAGTATATATCTATATGATATTGATTTGACATCATTTCGGATCAATACTGCTATCGTATGTCTACAAATAATCCCTCGAAACTCAAAATGGTGACAACTACAAGTGATTTCACATTTGTCTCTTTCAAAGGAGACGAAAAAAGTTTTTTTCTTAGAACGCCGGTCATGTATTACGTCCTCTCGTACTTCATAAGACATCCTCGATAATCCATCTGAAACAGATATGAGATCGCAGTAAACTTTACCTCTGAACTCTTCTTGAACCTCTCTAAATTTTGAAATTGTGTAAACTACTTGGAATTGCTTCTCCAATTCATATCACGTTGCACACGGTACCATTTGCGACAAAGACTTGAAGCCTGCTTGAAACTCTTTCTCAACTTTATTTCTCAATGCTCGTTCATACTATTCAACAAATTGCTTCAACGTCGTCTTCGAATGTACATAACCATCAAATAATGCATTCATACTCTCATTACGTACATCCCTGCCCAAAATGTGATTTTCAAATAGCAAGGTACCCAACGTTCCCTATTCTTATACAAACCTGCCAACCAGTCACTATCATACAAGTTAAACATTTCGATCATCACTTTCCAGCCATTTTCGAATTCTTCTGCAAACTGAGAATCATAGACCAAACCGTGTATCGTAACAAATATAGAACCCTTATTCACGTGGTGTCCAAACTTTTCAGGCAACTTCTTCATTATGTACCACAAACACCATCTATGCTTTGTATTGGAGAACACGATCTGAATTGCATTTTGTATAGCCCTGTCCTGATATGTAATTATCCCATGGGGAGCTTGTCCGTGCATGTGTTGCAGCCATGTCCAGAATAGCCACACAAATGTATCTGTATCCTCATTCGATACCAGACCACATCCAAGAAGTGTTGACTATCCATGATGGTTCACTCCAACAAAATGAGCAAATAGCATGTCATATTTATTAGTGAGGTACGTGGTGTCGAAGGTGACAACATCACCGAATTCCTTATGTGCTTGTCTAGTCCTATTAGCTGCCCTGAAAATATTCTTTAGACGCAACTCTTCATCCAAATCCATACTAAAGTAAAATTCCGAGCATCATGCTTGTATTTTAGAAAAGTATGATTGGATTGCTGCTTCGTCCCCTTCTCCAAATCTTAAGCGCCTAACCTTTTCAACATAATTTCGACAATCATTTTCGATGCAAGTCATATTCTCATATCCACCTGATTCTACAACTGTAGAGTTAAAACTCTTGTGTAACGGAATTCTTGCCAAGTCATTTACTTCAAGTCATCTTTTCTAATGTGCACTCAATTCTCGATTGCATCGATACCGGTTGGACTTTGAAGGACTTGTTTTATGATTGTGGTCCAGGTGTATCATGTTAATTCTCCATATTCTGCAAACATCTGAACATGCAGTGATTCTGGCTTTACATACACTTTGAATTGTTGCTTGCGACTTCAAAGAACCGTTTGTATTTTTTATTCTTTTCCCTTCACGACTGCAAATAAATGTAATATATCTCAATACTCCATCATCATCCTTTTTCGAATTTCTTTTTCTAACTGAAAATCCATTTTCATATGCATATTTCTTGTAAAACTCGAAGATTTCATTTTCATCCTTAAATTTCATACTCACCTCAGGCACAATCGCACCATCTCCAACCAACATATCATCACCCAATATGTTATTCTCATTATCAGAGTCTACCAAAATAATGTCATCCACATATTCCAAAATTTCTTTCCCTGTAAAAATAAAATAAAATTACAATGTTGAATAAGGCATAACAACTACATAACTCAAATTTAACATACAGAGAAAAAAACAAAATTCAATTATGAATCTTGCGAAGTAATGAACGAAAATTTCTAAATAAACTAAACATTATGCAGTCACTATAGCTGAAATGAAGAACAAAAAATAAAAAATAAAAATTCATCGCCTAATCACAGAACAAAGCCCATAAATCTTACATGAAAAAAATGACAAATCATCAAACCATTCATGACAATGAAACAATTAACCAATGTGAACGAGTACCTGTTTCGGTAATCTCTCAGCTGAACGATGTTGGGGATCACGATCTGTACCCAGATGTTATTCCCTAGCTTTCCCCTGTTTTTGACGTTGTCAGAGAACGGACTATAGGCAAAATAATAAATAGATTAGTGAAACTTCTCAGTAATCTTTTCTACCCATTTTGATTTCATTTTAATTGTAGATAGACAAAAAACAAAGGCTATGGAATAGATGTTTCTTACTTACAATTCTTGAAGAAACTCGATGATTGATATCCTCCACATATGTGTTTCTCAGCTCAAGCCACCGAAATGGTGTGGATAATTTTACGAGAAAAAAAAATATGGTTCAGGAGAGAAGGAGATTGAGAGCACTAGAAGTCTTCTCTCCAAATTTGGGGGAAAAAAATGAGTTTCCCCGTTTGCCCGCTTCAATTATGGCTACAGTGGAGGAAATGAGTTTTCAATGGTTTTGACTAGCTTTTGAATAACTTTCCCTTTTCTTTTTCATTTTTTTTAAAATTTTCTTACCCCCATTTTCCACGTCACTCGGTTACACCTTCGGTCAAAGCCTATGTTTGGGTAGCCTTATTGTTAGCCTATTTGGTGGTACGATACATATTGTTCCGAACTATGATTTTGATAAACTTAGAGTCATTCTAATTTGATTGGGTTGATGACGATAATTCTTCTTATTCTAATTTCTTCAATGATAGCAAGACTGACATCAGTACGACATTATATTACAGACCCATTTCGTGATCGCCATCCGTGCTTGGATTATTATGTCTCTTCTAGGATCATAGTATACATAGTTTACAACTCTATGTTCTTAGAAAGTTATCAAACAATTTCGAACACCGAACAAATTTTATTCACTTTCGTGATTTGTTACTAATATTCTTTGTTTTGAAAAGAAGACTCGACCAATCGCTTTATAAGAAAAATTGTGAATTGATCAAAAATTCGATATGATTGCTAGATAAATGATGCAAAGCAATAAAAAAAAGAAAAAGAAAAGTTCATGAAAAATTGGGATCATGGTCGAAAAAAATAATTTTCGGAGTGTCTGATTCGACACAATTCCGTCATTAAGGGTTCCAAAAATACGTATTTTGTTATTTTGAAATATTTTCTTAATTTTAATGAAATTATAATTATAATTTTATTTAGGGCTAGTCATTATCATTAAATCTTATGATTATATAGAGTTAGTTGTTATATATGAGTTTAATTATTATCCAAAATTTATTTATTTATTTAAATACGAGCTTTAAGTCTTATGATAGTTAGTTGAATTTGAATTTAATAAAGGTTTTGAGAAGTTTTTCAAAATTATTTTCTATTTTTTGATATTTGATATTTCAAATCAACAAGTTTGAGTGTTTGTAACATTTTTTCTTTTCGATAAGGTTTTGGTACTTAAATTAACTTGTCATAGTGAAAAATTGTTGAACCATAAAATCACTGTATTTCAATGACATGGACCATTTAATTGTGTATTGATAAAATTAAGAGGTTAGGCAGGATTAACATCAGATTTTTAGTAAATTTTGATAAAAGTTGATAAAATGTATCGTCAAAAAGCTATGAATTTGATGAAATGAGTGATTAAAATTAAATATTACTGTATTAGTTACATTAAATCAGTGTTCTAAAAGGCGCGCCTAGGCGTGAGGCGATGCCAAAACGCCAAGCCTAATGAGTTAGCATCTTATTTTGCGGTCAACGACAGTTGTTAACCCTCTAATGCACGCCTAGGCGCTTTTTTTTTTTTTTTTGAAGTTAAAAATTATTAAATGTTAATTTTTTCAATTTGTCCTAATTTAAAATTAAAACAACCATTTGAACCCAAAAGTCAAGTGACTAACGAATCTTATTTNTCCATGGATATTATATCACCAAACTGCTCCACCCAAATTGAATATTACAACACTCAACTGCTCGATCCAGGAATCGAACTCCCCACCCTGAGGTTGCAAGCCCAGCAATGCCCATCCTTTGCCAACTTGAATGTATCCCAGGGGGCTAAGTATTATTTTTAATTGATTAAAGATTAAAATAATATTAAAATAAGAAAACGCATTTTTCGAATATGCCTCAGCTAAACTCCTCTAGTCGTGAGTGACTTTGACATCCACGCATCAATGCGCATTAGGCAATAACACTGCATTAAATTATGAATTTTAATTTTCGACTAATATTCTTTTGATTTGTACTGCATAAAAATAAGGATGAAGAATAGTTGAAAGACAAGAAATTCCAACGGTGGCATACATTTCTCCGATCGATTGATCAGAGAGAGATCTGACTTCAACGTCTCAATTTAGATCTCTCTCTGCCACCGCCTCCGCAGTTTTCATTTCCTATAGAAACTTTATTCACACTAACAAATCCCAACCATGTCCCTGAATATGAAGACTCTGAGCCAGGCCTTCGCCAAGGCTTCTGCAGTCATAGAAAAAACTGTTCAAACCACTGTTCAAGAAGTCACCGGTCTACCTAGAGCGTTACAGGACTACGAGCTTTCTGACCAGATCGGCTCAACCGGACCAGGTCTGGCTTGGAAGCTTTATTCCGCCAAGTCACGTGACGGCCACTTGCCCGCAGTGTATCCGACCGTCTGCGTGTGGGTATTGGACAAGCGGGTCCTGGCGGAGGCCCGACAGAAGGCCGGGCTTTCGAAAACCGCTGAGGACGCGTTCCTGGATGTGATTCGGGCCGATGCTGCCAGGCTTGTGAGGCTACGGCATCCTGGGGTTGTCCACGTTGTCCAGGCGTTGGATGAGAGCAAGAACGCCATGGCTATGGTCACTGAACCACTTTTTGCATCGGCTGCTAATGCACTGGGTTATGTGGAGAATATAGACCAAGTGCCTAAGGAGCTCAAGGGGATGGTATGGTCTTCACTTTAGAGTTTGAGGGTTATTTTTTTGTGTGGATATTTTAGAAATTTGATAATTTAGTATTGATGGCTCTTTTCGGGTGGATTTTGTACTTCGAGAAGTGCCCTTCTGATTTCGAGCTTGAATTTGAGTGTTTTTTTTCCTCTCCCTAAAGATGACAATGGGGTGTTTTCTATCCTTATATGGTTTTTGAAGTAGAATGGCATATAGAAATTTGTAATATGTGTGGTAGTAATTGAAGTCAGGCCAATTTGAATTCTATATGTAGGATTTTGACACACTTGGAACTGAGTCCATCCCATTTTATTTGTAGATTTAGCTATTTGTAGATCAACCATTTATTTGAAAGTAATTATAGTAAACTTTGAATTTGGCAATCCAAAGATGGGACATTAGGCTACTGTAATTATGCCATGGTCCCTGGAGAATAATGCAAGGGGAGACCCAATTATTAGCTTATGCAATTGTCTGACTCACGGTTAAAAACAGTGATTTAGAATAAAAATGTTCTTCTGCAAAAATAAGTTAAGGTAAATCCGTTTTTCTTCTTAAACGTTGATAAAATTAAGCCCTCAATGAGAGGGCATCTGGTTGAAATTGACTTGATTACTTGAGATGATTACATTTTTATTGCACTAACTGAAATGTTTAGACTATAGTCTCCTCTTCCTGCCTTTCTGATCTCACGCTCCATCAAAGTAAAATGCAAAAAAAATTATTGGAGCTAGTTATACTTAACATATTGTGATGAGAATAATAATGAATTTATCTACGCATTTTTTTGTTATTGATTCTAGAAAACAAGAAAAATTAGAAGCAGGGGAGGGAACAATCATTCATATTGTTACTGTGAGCTGCGAGTCCTAGGAGAAAGTATGAAGGATTTAAGAATTTCACCTAGGACTGTTGCAAGGCTGCATGTAACTATTACAGGCACTTCTTTGGTGGATACTTAGTATGTCTTGATTGTGTCTTCGTTCTTGAGTTAAAAGAAAGCCGATACAATTGCAAAAATAAAAATGACAAAAAAAGATTTGGAATTTGTGTAATTTGGAGGCCTACCAAATCCTTGACACAAAGCACGGAGACTATAATTACTGTACATTCTCTATTCGCAAAAGAGAATTCGAATTTACCACTGAAATTGTTATTTAAGAGGCATGCTTATCGCAAATGTTACTTCATGTTTAACTATAAGGGGGTCCAAACTATTTCTGTTATTTTAGTAGGTTAACACATTGAAAACACATTGTTTAGGGATTGCTCAAGGGAAAATGTAATATGGGTTTAGATTAGGACATGGCAAATATTTGGGCTCATGAGAGAATAAATTAAGAAGATTATTTAACCAGGTTGAAAAAAGAGAAGTGAAATTGTGAGGTGTCATTGCTCCAAAGACCTATGATACCTCTGGTGACCTATTCCATCAACTATTATGTCATTTTTTTCAATATTATATTTAGACCCTGTGATGGTTTATTAGCTAAAAAAGTAAGATAAAAATTTAAGTCAAAGTCAACAATTAAGTTTGAACACACATTTCATAGGACCACAACTTTTATCAACCACACATTTCATCAATTTTTTTTCAAAATTTACTAAAAATCTGATTTTAATAAAATTAAATAGGGGTTTAATTAACCAACAACCTGTCTTTATTTTTCTTATACGTTATTACAAGCACAAAGATTTTGGATTTAGATTTTCAGCATTTCCTGATACAAGAAATTATTCTGACCATATACTATAAGATATGAATTTTTCTTGCTCATCATTTACTAAGATGTTATATTCTACTTTTTGCCAATTACTGTGTTGGCATCTCCATGTTGTGCCATATCCTTATCCTTTATCTGAACCTTGCGTCTAAGGCTATCCAGTTAGCCCTGGCCAATCGCTGTTAAAAATATATGCCATCAACTCTTCAGTATAAATTTAACCAATGTACTATATCAAATTTAATTCAGTAACCTTAAACATCTTTCCACTGTTTCTACACCTTTAGAGTTCTTGGTTGTTTTGGAGATAGAATCCCCTTCCTCTCCTTGGTGTTTGATGTGCCACAAGTTAAACGTAGTTGGAGGATCAGGCAAACAACAAATTGTTATGCAATTCACCCTTATAAACCGTGTTTGAGGATTGCACTTTTATTCTGCCTCTTTCAATTTGTGCAGGAAATGGGACTGTTGGAGGTGAAGCACGGTCTTCTCCAGATTGCAGAAACCTTGGATTTCCTTCATAACAATGCTTGTCTCATCCACCAGGCTTTATCACCTGAGGTTACCAATTATTCTTTCTTTATCTTTGTTTGTTCGCAGTTTTTCATATGGGCCTTTGATGCTGTCGTTGTTTCCCTTCCTTCCTTATTTTGTCTGTTTGAGTCCAAAGGAAATATTTTCCTTCTCTCATAATGTTCAATGGACTAGTTGCGTGATTTTGTGAAGAAAAAAGAATAATGACAGTGTGGATATGTTGAAAGTGGCTGTACGGATTTAACTATTTAACCTTGGTAAGATGTAGACGCAAGAAAACTTAAGGGCATAGTTGTTACTTGTTACAGTAGTTCAATCATCTCACCCTACTTTCATATCAGTTTTCAGCTGTATTTGAATTGTTTAATACCGTTTTTCTACATTTTTCCGGTGTTGGGACCTAAAGAAGTCTTTATCGTCCTTTTTGGTTGTCATTCGTTAGATTTAAAGATCTGTATCTAGCTAATTCTTCATTCTTCAAGCAGATGGCTTGACATGGTTACAAACCATCTAACTTTTTGGGATCCTCCAATAGATGTAGCGATGGAATTAATGGAGTGGCCAAAAAGGATTAATGTAGCCATACCGAAATTTATTGTTAATACTTAGTTTATTGTTACTAGTTTTTATCAAATGATTTGTTTTTCATAAACCTTTTGCAATTTGTGCATCTCATATAAAACCTTCCAGAAATGACTTTGTATTTTGTAGCCAGTGACAAATGGGTTATAATTTTATTGCTCTGTTGTGAATTTTCTATGTTTCAACAATTGGATAGAATTTAGAAATGTTTCTTCAGAATCTTTCCTCACTCGTATATAGAATTTAGATTGGGAACCTTGTCCATGCCTAATATTTGTATACGTGCAGATCTAAATATTCATATTATTTTAATGCCATATCAATGCCTCGTGCTGTTTATTTTATAATGAATATGCCTATAGTAAACAGAAGCCTTTGCGGTTGCTCAATACTGAAGTGAAGGATACTTGAACAAATTAAAATATTTCATTTCCTTAGGTTGTTTTATGACCTGGGCTTTGGTTTTATTTTCCTCTTGTAGGATATGAATATCATATGTTAACAATATTGGCCATTGTTCTGTTGCAGGCTGTCCTGATTACGTCAAATGGAGCCTGGAAGCTTGGTAGCTTTGGTTTTGCGATATCAACCAATCAGTCATCCAATGATTCTGCACACGTTCAGTCTTTTCATTATGCTGTAAGTAATGAACCTGTTGTTCTTGGGAAACATAATATTTGTCAGAATCTCCCCCACCGTGATTTTTGGATTCATTACTGATTAAAATATCAGTGTTGTTAATTTGAATCTTCTTTGTATACCTATACTTATCAATATGGTTTAGTATTTGGAAGTATTCCTGAACAGAAATGTTGACATTATCGATGCGCTGGAATGTGTCATTTATTTATTTTATTCTTTTCCTCGGGGCTGCTTTTTTAGATTAGAAAGCAGTTGATCAAGAGTCAATGCATAGTATTTCACCACATTGTTTGCAATATTTTTCCTCAGGATGTTTTATCTATGACCCTTTTTAATTATGATTTCATTTGATGTGATTTATTAAAATCGAATTGATAGGTTTCAATGTGAAACATGAATGATAGATGAGCTGATATTCTAATCTGATTTGAATTTCATAGGAGTACGATGTCGAAGATTCTGTTCTGCCCCTTCAGCCATCATTAAACTACACTGCCCCTGAACTGGTTCGGAGTAAAACATCTTCAGTCGGGTGCTCCTCTGATATTTTCAGTTTTGGATGCTTGGCCTACCACTTGATTGCTCACAAGCCTTTGTTTGATTGCCACAATAATGTGAAGATGGTACTCTTTTCTTTTCTCTAGGAATTTTACAAGTATTATTAAAATAACTTGGTTCATCTTGACAATAAGAAATAATTGTTGCTAATTTTGCCTACTATACAGTTTGGTGTAAACTTGGGAAGTGCAGTCTGTTTGGGATTCCTTAGTTCTCTTGATCACTTAAAACAAGTAAATCGTGTACATTTTGGATATAAGCAATGGAATTGTTATACCCAATGTTTTGAAAATCCACCCGGGCATTGACCTGGAACAGGCAAAGGGTTAGGTGTCAAAAGGTTGAATTCAAAAAAAATATATATATAAATAAACAAATACACCACAAAAATTTGAGAAAATAAGTTTATTTTTAAAAACTAATTAATGTATGTAGATAAATGACTTTTAAAATTGGCTACATTTAATTTTCATTTATCCGCTTCTAATCTCAATAGAAATGAAACAATAGATATAGCTAAAGTTTCAGCATTTGATTTATATAGCATTCTAGCCTCTGTAGGGGTTTTATTTTTTATTTTTTTACTATAAACTTAAAAAGGTACTTTGAAAGTAAAAAAACTGCAATTTTAATCACACATTTTGTATGAACCACGACTTACCCATCACTCATATCTTGAAAGTAATTTTTTAGTTAAAAAAAATGAAACCCAAACAGAGGCTTAGTGTGTGATAAATATAAAATTAAATGAGAAAAAATAGAACTAAAATGAAAAGAAGAATCAAATTCAAGAAATAATTTATTTTGAGGTCCAGATTTTCTTTTTCAAAATTTCAAATAAAAAATTGCACTTTATTTCAACTGGTGTTAAAATGCTTGAAGTAGGGTGGTCCATTTATAATATTCCAGCCCCTAACTTCATGTCTTTTCTTTCTTGTTTAAGTTGATAATATACTTTTTATGTATTCTTTTTTGATTAATAAAATTATTTGATTACCTATAAAAAAATATATATATTCCCACAGAGAAAAACATAGAAGGAAAAAGGTTAAGAAAACAGCTATAAGAGTGACCAGCAAATGGTAGGGAAATAATAACTTTCTGGGCCTTTAACCTCTTTTGACATTAGTTATTGGGCCTAAGAAGTTCCATTTTTTAAATTAAAAAATTAACCTGCTAAAACGAAAAAACCGGTGCCTGGTCAACTGGTTTGCATTTGGACCTTGCCTTTGGCCGGTTTTTCTTGATACTTATTTACTCTTAAGTAGAAGTTAATTTTTATGAGTAACTCTTACGCTATTGTCAAAATAAGTAACTTATTTTTATCTTTTATTAATGAAGAAAGCTATTTTTGATAGCTTCTTTGCTTATTAAGTACTTGTATGTTTGGGTATCTTACTTATTTTCAATTTTGGCGTACAAAAAAATTACTTACTTTAAAACATGCTTATTTACTTATAACTAAAGTAACTCACACTCCTAATTTGCCTATTTTAACAATCTAATGAGTAATGTTGCAATTTAATTTTTGTTTTCTATCTGTGATATTAAACATACTTATTTTGCTTTCAATTTTTCACTGCTTGGGGCAGCTTCTCCATTTTATATGCATGCGATCAGTTAATCCACCCTAAACCTGTCTTTATGGCAGGATTAAACTATAGAAATATTCCTATATTGCAAGATTACTCCAGATTATACTAATCCGGGTATAACTTTGTCTCAAGCGACTCCAAACACCGGATTGGATAATAATATCCATATCCGGTGGCATACGAAAAGTTAGCTTAGTGTGTGGTATGTGCATCTAAGTGTCTGTATATATGTAATTGACCAGAGCATTTTGGCTTTTGGCAAATAATTATGTTGAAACACTATGATTGATCTACTTTCTCATGCATTTCTCTGCTGTATCTAAGTATATCTACTAAATTATCTGTCACATCTCAAAAAGATGAGAACTGTGGGTAATGGTTTGATGGGTCCATTGAGAGATTACATCAAAATCATGTCAAAGATTGCTGAAAAATTGTGAAAATTGGTTCCATCAGGATCTTTAAAAGATTGCATAATGGTTGGATTTTGGGGTGTATTCAAATCCCTTTCAATATAATTTGAATACTATTTGAGATCTGTAAACCCAATGAAACATCTAAATAGATCTAGATTCAAAATTATGTAGATTTGGTTTTTTGCATTCTAATTAATTTATGTATTATAATATTACGGAATTCATGATGTTATGTTGTTGATTTCCAGATATATTCAGCCCGTGTTTGAGTCCATTTACTTTACTTTAATTTATTTCTCATATTCATTTTCAACCACACATTTACACAATGAAATATTCTACATGTAAATCCAAAACTTTTCTCTACTTTTTAACCACACATTCTACAAAAAGTACTATTCAAAACATTGTTTTTTTTTTTTAAATAAAGGCCACCAAACAGGGGCTCACTATCTTGTACATACATTCTAAATTTCATGATAATTAATTTCGTTTAAGATCTTTCAAATAATGCATTATGTAAGTTTTTGTTCTAGTATGCTGAAATTCTGTGGCATTGGTAGTAATCTGGATCTACTGAAGTTGTTCCCTCCGATTTGAAGTTATTTTTGATATAGTTTTCCTAAAACCGATGCAATTAGTGTTTTATTATTATTGTTATCCCGTCCTTTCTATAATTGTTACTTTTAAGTTCGTCCACTGTTTTAATAATAGTGGTTCTTGTGCAACTTTCCTGCAGTACATGAATAGTTTGAATTACTTATCCAGTGAGGCTTTTTCTTCCATTCCAAGGGAGCTGGTACCCGAGTTACAGAGAATGCTTTCTGCAAATGAGGCTCTCAGGCCGTCAGCCATGGATTTTACAGGTACGGCTGTGCACCTTCTGAATATTACAACTTTGTATTTTGGATGTATTGCTATATTAGGAGAAAGGCTTGTAGAACAATACAATGCACATTAATTTTTCTTTCCTTCCTGTTCCTTTTTCATACTTCTATTTTATTTTATTTTTTTGGTTGGGGGAGGGGGTTCTTATATGGTCTGCTGCTTTGCAAGGTGCAGTTCTATATGATCCTATGACAACATAAGTAGTGTGTTGGACAATTTTTTAGTTAGTGCAGCAATGGATGGATGCTAGTTTGCCATATGGATGCATGAATGGATTCTAATGCAATGCTTGTTTCTTTTAAGAACGAAAATGTTCGATAACGAATAATTCAGGTGACTGCTTCATACCACACTTGCAGTAGAAAACAACAACATTAAACTTAGATATAAGAAAAGGTGAGGTAATGATGAAGAAAATCTGTTTTGCATTTTGTGTTGAGGTCTTGGCACCTCACAGTTAAATATTTAAAGATCTTTACAGATGAAATCACCAAATGCTCATCTAAAGCCTAGCTTTTATTTTGTGCATGCACAGTTGCTCTTTAGGATCTGAACGGAAAGAACGACATGTAGAACCAATAGTATTTAAGCTATCTATGGCTTTAATTTGTCCAGTCTTATCTATTAGCTTTAGTGCTAAGAGCTTTCTTATGCTAAAAGTTTCAAGTTGTCACACTCACAAATAAATCTCATTCAAATATGATTTTTACTAAGAGGGTGTTTGGTGGGGATTAAAAATTAGATTTTTAGTAGATTATGATAGAAGTTTTTAAAATGCGTGGTTGAAAAGTTCTGGGACCATAAAAAATCTGGTTAATATTGATTGTTTGACTTTGATTTGGATTAAAATCTGATTTTAATCCGTACGAAACATAGGCTAATTATGTGCTCATGTTTGCAGGCTCACCTTTTTTCCGGGAGGATACTAGGTTGCGTGCTCTCCGCTTCTTGGATCACATGCTTGTATGCAATCATGTTTAGCTTTAAAGATCCGCCTGATTTTGATTTGCACATATAGGACAAATCTTCCCATTACCATTTCTTTTTGTTATTACTTGTTTTCTTTCTTTCTTGTTTCCAATTCATTTCATACCTTTCACCGAGTCCAGGATGGCCTTGCTGTGAGGAGTATTTTACATGATGCAATTTTGGTGATAATGGAATGTGAGATGACCTTTATTGCCTGCAGGAAAGAGATAACATGCAGAAATCAGAGTTTCTAAAAGCATTATCAGACATGTGGAAGGATTTTGACTCCCGTGTATTGCGGTATAAGGTTCGAGATTTTGCATTCCCATTTATATGATTCTGCTTTACAGTCTTGCTGGTCTTCTTCATATGTATAGCGCCTAGAACTTATTGTCATCTTGTTTATATGGATGCTGGAATAGTAACAGTAAGATGAAAAGTAAGTACAATTATTGAAACTTATATTTTCTGATATGACTATTGTTGTCTACTCCCATAACATTTTGAACAATCTATATATGGAATCAAGTTAGGGATTTAATACAATTATCCAATGTAATTGTCTTCCTTGTCCTAACTCTAATGCTCTTGAGCCCATCTCCCAACACCCCTTAGAAGAATGATGTCTCAAGATTATATGTTCATCCATTTCCCTAATTTCTGGTTTTGATGGCTATGATGATGCAGTATCTGTATTTTTTTAATGTGTACTAATTAGTCTAGTCCTTGGACTCTTATGGAGGTTTGGCAAATTGAACTCCCATTGCTGACTAATGCAGGTTCTTCCCCCTCTGTGTGCAGAGCTTCGAAATTTGGTAATGCAACCAGTGATTCTACCTATGGTGCTGACCATAGCAGAGTCTCAGGTAATTTGATTAGTTATCTTTGTACTGTAAAATTCCCTTTGGCATGTTAAGAAATTACATTTCATCAATTAAAATTACAATTTACCTACTTTTGGAAACTTGGAGTTGATTTAACTATTTTTGCGTCTGTGCACATGCATTTCTTATGTAATGCATGACTTGATAGCTGATACCACGAACTTCTATATCTAGACATGAATGTAAAAATGTTCAGAGTTTGTTGGAGATACTAGGGCTAAGTTTGCAATTCCTAATACATTTGATCATTATTTTATAAAATCCAAGAATGTGAAAGTTACTGCTTTTGTGATGTAACTTTTAAGGTTGAAAAGTCTAGTATTCTGGTCATACACTTGAATCACCTGCAAATATTTTTTTCATACACACTGTGAAACATGGTAAATTTTGCAACATGTTTTTAGTGAATAAAATAATCTCTTCTTCAATACATTTTGCATTTGAAATGTCGCATTTATTGAGACAATTTGTATATAAGACCTATGTGTATATTATTTTCAATGAGCTTAAATTCGTTTTGTGAGTTCATGTAGGTTTCTTTATGCTATTGCTTTCTAGTATGTATGTTTCAAGTTAGAGGTTATAATATTTCTCCCTTCCTTTTCTTTAATTTCATTGTTCCTGGTTATATTGCCTGGTGCATAATTTCTTATGGTTCTGAAAGTGGGGCCAGGAGGAAGGTAATGTACATCCATAAAATACCATTTGATGGTATTATATGATGAATAAGATAATGATACAGCAGCAACAGTGTACAAGTTTAATCAGTTGCCATCTTTGACTTTTACAAGACTAATATGTTAAGGAGGTTTGGTGGTATTTCTGTAAAATTATTGCAGGATAAAAACGATTTTGAGCTATCAACCTTACCATCTCTTGTTCCAGTCCTGGATACGGCTGCTGGTGAGACATTACTGCTACTTGTGAAGCATGCTGAGCTTATTATCAACAAGGTAACTAAAGTTGATGTGCTAGCGTGCCATTTATGCGTGTTATAACTGTTATACACTTGATTTTTCCTATTTGAGAAATATATTTAGTGAAATAAATATTCCAGTTTTCTCAGCTGGTCGGAACATTATAATATTGATTTTTTACGATTAACGCCTTCCTATATTGCCCTGCTCTTTCCAACTTTTGCAGTCTTCGTAATAATGTTATTGTCTGAATTGTTATTATTCCTGTTACTATTAGCGATGAGGTTTCAAACTGCAGTTCACTTGTTTACGTATTTGTAGTAGTGGGGCATTATTAAAGAAATCAAATATTTGGAAGAGTAGTATAATTCTTATTGACTTGTAAAAAATGTAGAACAGATTCCTAGCTTTATAGTCGATTACACAGTCTGCTGGAGCATTAGGAGACTAAAAATAGAATATATCCCTAATTTTTCATCTATCTAAAATAGGAAAATATGCAGTTAACAATCTGTAGCTAATATACAACAACCTAGTTTTCTGATCAGAACAAAATCAGCAAGGAACATAAAATCAGTAAGGAATCTTTTACAGCTTTCTAAAATTATAAACCATGAGGTGACTGCTTTTCGTTTGCTTGGACTTGAGTATCAAAGAGGCCAAGAGACAATTCTGGTGCTGTGTGCAATACCTTGGAAGAGTGTTTTGTTCTTTTGTGATTTGGAGCCTATATTTCTACTTCCAAGAAAATTGGGGGATGATGTTGATGCAACAAGGATACAACTAAAAACCTATTCAAGGCAAAAGACTAAGAATTAGTAGAATTCGAGTTTATCTAGATTATAGTAGTTTGATTTTGACAATGTTATCTTTTATTTCAAGTTTGTTTAGATAGGAAGTCTATTTATTTTCAAAGTCCTTCTATATAAAGGGATCCCCTTTTTCTTTTTGTTCGTATCAATTTGTATTCTCCTGCATCAATTAGAATTAGTAGAGTTAGAATTTATCTAGATTATATTAGTTTGATTTTGACAATGTTATCTTTTATTTCAAGTTCGTTTAGATAGGAAGTCTATTTATTTTCAAAGTCCTCTATATAAAGGGATTTAGGGAAATATTTATAAACACACCAAATTATATGTATTTTTGGTTTGAAGAACAACAGCCAATAATAAAAGTCAGCTTTTTCGGGACTTTCTTTGAACTAACTAAAAACTGGAGAAACTGCTGCTGGTAATTTGTGTTGTTCCAAAGGTTGGTGAAGGTTGTGTATATAAAGGTGATTTGACGGTATATAGGTGGAAGGTGGCTTTGTATGTTTGGATTGTGTAGAAACGGCTGATTGGGTTGATTTTTTATTTTGAGAATATGTAGGTCAAATGAGGACGAATTGTTCTGATACCAAATTGATGTAGGAGCATTCAAAGGAATTTTTTTCATTTTAAAAGTCATTCTCTATATAAAGGAACTTAGGGCAATGTTTACGAACACACCTGAACTATATGAATAAAACTATTTCTCTCGCCCTCAATTCTTTCCTTTGATCGCCTTTCTTCTTATTGTTCTTTATCAATTTGTATACTCCTGCATTTGATGGTTTATGGGATTGGGATTAAGAGAAACTTAAAGACTGAAGAAAAGTATGAGTTGCTGAATGGAGAGAAAAAATTATAACTAAAAATCTTCCTCTAATTTCAAATAAACTTGAATGAGTCATTTTTTGCAATCTCGGAGATGCCCATTGAAAGAAAAATCAAATCTTCACGATTGCATGAGGTCATTTTAATTTTTGTTTACCTTCTCTCTCTTCTAAGTTTTAACTTTTTATAATGAGACTTTGAGCCCATTTAGCATGGCTTTTGAGAAGTCAAAATATCCTTCGAAATCCAAAAGCTACTTTTGGATCTATTGGGCTAATTTTATGAAAGTATTTCTTCTAATTAAAAGAACTTTTAGAGTAAACTAGTTCAATGTGATTTTCTCTAGAAGCATTTCTGAAAAAAAAAAAAAAAGAATTTTTTTTTAAAAATTAGTTTCCAAACAAAAATTAAGGTAGCTTCCTTAGGAAGCTCTTCTATTTGAAGTAAAAGCAAAAGTCATGACCAATGGGTCTTTCATTGCTCTTGTGAATGAGAATTTATTCTAGTCTAAATGGACATGACCCTAACAACTTAGACAATCCTTTGCATAATTTATCCTTAACTAGTTCTACCTCTAGTCTCTACTTATTAATGTATATTTAACATAGTTTTTTCGATTCCACTATGACCACACATCTATCTTAACATCCTCACTTTTCTGCTTTGATTTTATAAACATTTTTGTCCTTTAGAAGCCTAAAACTCTGGAGTGTAATGCATAGCTGGTCTAATAACTTCCATGTGTTACTTTATTTTAACTTGATAGGTATCCTTTCAACTAGATATATTTTATGTAACATTTTAACCTTGTGACTTATATTTATAGCTTCATTTGTTTTTCTCTTGAGGCAGGCTAGTCAGGAGCACCTGATTTCCCATGTCTTGCCCATGCTTGCTCGAGCTTATGATGAAACCGATGCACGCTTGCAAGAGGAAGTTCTAAAAAAGACGGTCTTGCTTGCAAAGAAACTTGATGTTCAGGTGACTAAAGTTGCTTCTTATGGGTAATTCTTAATTATGTGGACTGGTGAAACGGATCATATTATTCGTTTTTGATGGAAAAAAATGTATTTAAGAATAGTGATTTTTTGAAGAATGTGTAGCTAAAAAAAGGAAAAGTTTTTAATTTGCGTGCAATATTATTTTATTGGAGAATGTGTGGTTGAAAAGAATAGAGAAAAATGCATTTTGAATAAACACACACACCTCTTAATCTAAAAAAAGGTTGTTTCCCCTTAATATTAATATAATAATTAAAGCTTGCTTAAGAACTGGCGGAATTGAATTGCCCAATCCTATCTTTCTTTGAAGTTGGTCTAGAGCGGGATAAACTTCTACGGCAAATGGAGCCCAAACAGGGGCTATGTTCTTTAACTCTAGTTGACTACTAGGTTCATTCTTGATTTTTTCAATATGTTGAAAAATACAATTTTCTAAAATTGTCAACTAACAATAAATGTGCAAGGCATAAAGCTTTTACGAAACGACATGCATGATATCATGTCATTATGACAATACGTGCCAAATCATTTATCGTATTTAAATGCATTATATTTTGGAGTATATGATTGCATCGTTCTACAAGTTGCAATAACTCTTTAAGTTTTCAACTAAGTCTGTAACGATGTAGACCTCGTGCCCAAACCGTTGTAATTTACATACTGTCTGTTTGGGAGGAAATCTTCCATCTTACTCCTCACGGCTTTCTGTCGCATTCCCAAGACCTCTGCCTTATAAGAGACTTAAGTTGAATACTTGTCCAATTGGTACCAAGATTCAATTTAAGAAGGCAGAGGTCTTAAGTTTGAATCCTGGGAGATGTGACAAAAGCCATGAGGGGTAGGATGAAAAAATCTCTTCCAAATGGACAATACATATAATATAAAGGCTTGAGCACGAGGTTTGGGCCGTTACAAAAAATGCACATTTGTTTATAACGATCGGGTCTTTGTGACCAAATCGTTAACTTACGTACCGTTCGCTCTGTTTTTTTGTAATTACTCAGACTTCTGTGTCGAAACCGTTAACTTACGTTATGTCCACTCTAGGAGAGTTTGAGTCCATCTTACCCCTTACGGATCTGTCGCATTCACAGGATTTGAGCCCTAAGACCTCTAGTACTCTTAAGGCAAAGGTCTTCGATTTGAAATCTAAGGACGCGATAGAAATTCGTGATGGATAAGATGGGCTAGGCTCTCCCAAAGCTGATCCGCTTTGGGATAGCTTAGAATCTTACCCATCACGAATTTCTATCGCGTTCCCAATCTCAATACATCTGCCTTATGGGAGACTTAAACCGAATTTTGGTACCAATTGGGTAACTAACTTAAATATCTCATAATGCAAAGGTGTTTGGGTTCGAATTCCGGGGATACTATAAAAATCCGTGAGTAAGATGGACTAAACTCTCCCGAAATGGATAGTACGTATGATATAACAGCTTGGTACGAGGCCTGGGTCGTTACAAAGTCCTTTTTGTTAAATGTTCCCTATCGGCAATCATCACTTATGGATTCATTCCTGGTTTTAGTATTATTGGTCAAATGTGCTGTTTATTATTTTTGGTATATTACTAAATTTCACCTTTTTCTATTTGTTAACCTTTCTTGCAGTTAGTGAAACAAGCAATTTTGCCCCGTGTTCATGGCCTGGCACTTAAAACAACCGTTGCTGCGGTATGTTGCCCGTGCTTCATGTGTCTTTATTTTGAATGCCCACCTCTCTTGCTAGATTTTCTTGAAATAGGCAAGAGTAACTTTAGGAAGTTATATGTTGTTACTATTAAAGTCATGTTCATTTTTATGAGAGGCAGCAATGTTAAGTCAAACAACTTCTACCATTTTTCCTTTTTATTTATTCCCTTTTCGTTGAAATGGGCACTCCCTGGAGTGAATCAGTCAGTCTAAACTCTAAAGCCAAGGCTTTGCTTTTGTTGGCAGGTGAGAGTGAATGCTCTATTATGTTTAGGTGAGATGGTTCACATGCTTGATAAGCGAGGTGTTTCAGATATCTTGCAAACGATTCAACGATGTACTGCTGTTGATCATTCTGCTCCAACTCTTATGTGTACCCTTGGAGTCGCAAACTCAATTTTGAAGCAGGTATGAAACGTTTTAAGGCAACTCCGTCGTATGTATGAACATTTATTTTAATTTATTTCGCCCACTTATCTTATTTTAGTTTTTTTGTTTTGACCTTTTCTTTCTTTGCAGTGTGGAATTGAATTTGTAGCTGAGCTTGTTCTTCCAATACTGATACCACTGCTAATTACTCAGCAATTAAATGTTCAGCAGTTTGCTAAGTACATGTTTTTTGTCAAGGATGTGCTAAGGTAACATTAAAGCTATCTCTCTCTCTCTCTACATAGATATGGATCCTAATTCCATATATTATTGGTGATTGACTTGTCATGTAAGAGGTTCAATGTGCAAGTGCGTTTATGCTGTGCTGAGTTATGTTATTGTGTCCTTTGCAGAAAGATAGAAGAAAAGCGAGGAGTAACTTTGACGGACTCTGGAATTTCAGAGACACCACCACCTACAACGGATGGGCCTCTTCCGGGACTAGTTCATAAACCACTTGCTACCTCATCTAGTACGAAACACAGCCCATCATGGGATGAAGATTGGATACCTTCCAGGGGAGCTTCAACTGCTCACTTGTCTTTCACTACAATTTCAAATGATCGACCGGTCGTTCCAACTCAGCAAGCTCAAGCCTCAGGATATTCTCAGTCCTCTTTGACATTGACTTCATCTTCTGAACAACTGCCATCTTCATGTCCTGCAGTTGATATTGAGTGGCCACCTCGATCTTCATCAGGCATTACAACTCAATTAGGTGACCCTGGGAAGCTTAATGGAAACAAAGGTTCTTCAGATGCAGGTTTTGATGATATAGATCCTTTTGCCAACTGGCCACCTCGGCCTAGTGGCACGACAACCCTTTCTGGATCTTCAACCAATGGAATGGCAACACCGTTTGCCAACAAATATCCTTCGAGCAATAATGCAACCTCGACTGATGGTTTGAGTTCGTGGGTATTTGGCACTCAAAATTCTGTTGAGCCAATGAGACAGATTCATGGTAGTAATACCTCATCCACTGTCGGGGGGCTGAATGTGCAGAATTCTTTCGGGTATCTGAACCAAAATCATGGCGCTTCAACTCTTGGTTCCTCCACCCAGAAAGCAGCGGATCTTGGCTCGATCTTTGCTTCTAACAAGAGTGAGCAAGCTGCACCAAGACTCGCTCCACCTCCAACAACTGCTGTTGGTAGAGGGAGAGGACGGGGAAGAGGAAGTCAAGGACAACTTAGGAGCACCTCAGCATCACGGCCTAGTCAGGGGAAATCTCAGCCTGAGCAGCCGCCTCTACTGGACTTGCTGTAGTTTCTTTAGTGAGAACATGAATGGTTTCCGAGTTAAGTGCTAAGTACAGATCAACAGTAGTGGAGTAGTTCACTTGACTATATGCGGTCCATTGCAATTATTCGAGGCGAATTATTCGAGGCGAATAAGAGAAACTTGTCGATACATCGGTGCCTAATTCAAGCTGTTCGGATATTGTAGCATAGTAGTTTGTGATTCTGCCTGTCATAGAGTGCGGCTGCTTGTACTCTTTTTAGACAAATTTTTGTTTTCTTCTTTTTCCTTAATGATTTTATTCAATTTATATATAGTTTGTCGAGGAAGTTCATTGTATTCTTCATCCATGGGTTTAAGAAATGGTAATAGAAGTGACGTTTTTGAAATATCTCCCTCAAATTATAAAGAGTATATTGATGAAAAGTCTCTTAATACACACGTATTTATGTTTAATTGTGTTTTAATTTTTTAGGGAACTTTCGTAGAATTAATTTTAAAAACTACTGATATATATGTCACATAACTACGAAAAGTTATAAAGTTTATTTGATTTCGAGACATCCTACATTGATTAAACCAAATAATATCGTAAATTTAACTTGTTAACTTGTTCAAAAAAACTTGTCAATGGAAACTAATCCCTAAGGATTAATAAGAAATTAAGAGTTTCTATGGCATGAGATTGCTTTGAAATTATTCCAGCAGTGGATGGATTTTTGGGCAAAATAATTTCATATCCATCTGTTGACATACAAAAAATGAGGCCCAATTAAATGGTCCAAAAAATGAAACTCAGTTAAGAAATTCGAAGGATGAACCCAAACGAGACCATATAAAAACCCAAGACGGAGTTATGTAATTGAAGCCCGTCCCCGCTCAAGCCTACGAGACGCCCAAGATCTGGACGAGCCGTCATCGCTCAAGCCTGTGAGATTCCCAAGATTTTGGCGAATATAGTGTTTGGCGTACTATTCAAAGCAACGGTTATTGAAGCAGTTGATAGATAATCTTATCACATTCCATGATCCAATAATCTCGGTTGCAAGGATTAAGTGATGTGAGTAATGACAGCGGTTGAAAACGATAGTTTCTTAACAAATCATCCATTATGGAGAACGTGGGTAGTTACAGATTGAGAAGCAGTTTTCAAACAGTTTTACAAGGATAACTGTCAAATGAGTATAAAAGAGAAAGAAGAATTTAGAAGAAATGATCAGATCAAATGACTCTTCAATAGAGAATTATATAATTTTATTTATTTTCTTCTTTTTAATCTCCAATTACTTTGCAAATTCAGTGTACTTGTGTCCCTTCGAAGCATTTCGCTTCGTCCATATTGTGGTGGTTGTTCGTGAGACTCGATTTCCACGCGAAACATTCTTCAATATTCTTCTTGAATCCTCCCAATGACTCGATATCCATCTTTCCATAAATGCCATTTGTACATTTTCACTTTCCTCGGATAATCTGAGAAAACGCGATCAATTTAACTTTTTTGTTTACTTTAGGCATCTGCGGCAAGTTCTGTTATTTAAAGTTTAAACGTATTCTTTTGAAAACCAACTAATTGAATTTAAGGTTTAAACGTATTCTCAGCTATTAGAATTTTATGGAATTCTAAATCTCAAAACTCGAAAACCTAATTACTTTATTGTCAAAATTCTTCAATCAAATCATAAAAAAGATTAATAATTGCGAAATATACCGAATCTTAATTCTGGATCTTAAATCTTGATTATTAACTCTTTTGGTTCTTGAATTTTTTGTCTAGATTTTAACTTCTAGCTTCATAATCTTTATTGTTTTGTTCTTGAATTTAATTGTTCCATTCCTTCTTTTTTATTATTGATTGTAAATTTTGAATCTTCCTCTTCAATATATTCTCTCTCTGAATTCTTATGTTGATGAGATGACACAAAAAATGAGAAGTTGCATATGAATTGAGGACCATAACCTTATATATTGTTTTTATATGTATTTGACACATCGTCAAATACAAACCTAATGAATCCGATTTCTACACATATAATCGACCCAAACTTTATTTAAATGCTCTAAGCCTATAACTTTAATTATTTATTAGATTACTTTAATTTTAATTTTAACTTTAAGATAATCTTTATACATAATTAATTACATATGTCGGCCTACATATTATTATTATTCCTAACAATCTCTCATTTGGGCCACATATATTATCTTATAAATGTGTTTAACCTCATAAGTTTAATACTTTTGCGATCATAACCAAAAACATTTTCGAAAAATCTCGTCCATCAATTATATCAATATAGGATCAAAGAGGTTTTTGTTACAAGTATCATAACTAAACCCTCAATGATTAGTATATCAACACAATCAAATGACATAAATTAAGTATGGATGTGTAGCATGGAAATTACATGTAATGCGATCCAAAATGCCTACTTCCAACAATCGTACCCTATTCTTTAAATAGATCAAATCAAAAACTTTAATCAAAGTGAAAGATGAATTGAATATTTTATTTCTGAATTAAATTGTATATTTATGGATAAAAATATGTGTCTAAATCATAGAACAAAAAATTTCACTAAATTGGCATATCATTAGAAGATGTAACACCCATGAGAGCATTATACTCATGAAAGACCTTGAGTGGCAGCCATTTAGTAAATTGATCTATATTTATTAAGTTTGTCCTAATATGTTTTATAGAAACTTGACGACTCTGAATTTTTTCTTTAATAACTAAAAACTTGATGTCTATAAACTTTAACATCGTCAAGTCATTATTGGAATATAAGACTGCTATTGTCACATAATAACTTAAGTGATCTTTTAATTCAATCCAAAATATGCAACCCAGCGACAAAATTTCGCAATCATATTCCATAATCAGAATCAAAATATCCAATGATCTCCAATTTGTCTGATTTCATTTATGTGATCACGTAATCCTTAGTTTTCTATAGATAATGAATAACTCAATTAGCTGTTTTCCAAATATCCATCCTAGAGTTACTTAAATATCTGTCCAACATTCCAACAATGAATGTTATATCTGAATGTGTACAAATCTAATTATACATTAAACTCCCAGCTGCTTGAACACTGTGAATTTTCTGTATTTCATTTTCTTTAAATTTATCCTTAGGATATTGATTTAGACTAAAGTTGTCTTCCTTAGCAATAGGGGTATCACCCGATTTACATTCTCGTATCACAAATCTCTTAAGAACCTTATCCATATAGCTCTTTTGTGATAATCTAAAAATACCTTGAGAACGATCTCGTGTATCTATATCCTTAATACAAAAGAGGAGTTACCAAAACTTTTCATTTCAAAATTTCACGATAGAATTGATTTCGTGCAATAAGCCTATATCATTGTAGGAAAGTAGTATGTTATCGACATACAATATCAGAAAACATGTTTACTCCTATTGAACTTGTGATATATACAACCATCAACTGCATTCATCTTAAAACCAAACGAGATAATTATTTGATGAAATTTGTGATACCATTTACGGGAAGCTTGCTTAAACTCATAAATGAATTTATTTAATTTGTAAATCATCAAATGTAGCTCAAGATCAAAATATGTCAAAAGTGTCATAATAGTTCTAAAAGAGTCTTTCGTGGAAATTGGAGAAAAATCTCTTTAAAATCAATGCCTTCTTTTTTAGTAAAGCCATTTGCAACTAGACAAGACTTGTATCTCTCCAAACTACTATTCGAATCTCTCTTGGTTTTAAATATCCATTTACAACTAATGAGTTTCGCACCTTCAGGCAATGTGATGAGTTCCCAAACGTCATTATATTTCTTGGACTATATCTCTTTATTTATGGCATCAATCAACTCTTCAGAATTATTCATTTGCATGGCTTGATTCAAGATCAAAATATGTCAAAAGTGCCATAATCCTAAACAAATAAAAGAGGCACTTTTAAAATCACTGTTCACACTTTCGTCCTCTTAAAACGACGCCGTTTCGGACTCTTAAAACGACGCCGTTTTGAACTCTTAAAACGTTACACCACCGCTTGACTTCCCGAAGCTTCGAGCGTTTTCCCCATTTCTTCCCTTTTGATTCATTCATTTGCTTTTTACTCTCCACAACCAAAAAACCCTAGCTTCCTCCGTAGACGACCAAAAAACCGTGGCTGCATCCCCGGATTTGTCACCTCCGCTACTCCCTCCGACCGAAGTGAATCTCCCGTCTGTAAGTGCTGTAAGTGCTTTAATTTCATGAGAGCCGTTTTCCTTTTTTGTAGTTTTCCATCTCTGAATGTTTTTCTTGTTTTTCTGTTATTTTCTTACGATTTAAGTAGTCTGTGTTGTTGTTCGTTGTGTCTGTAGATCCAAATCAACCTGGGTTCGTCGTCGCTGCCGTTGATTTAAGGTCTGTCGTTTTAGCTGAGGGTATGTTCTTCAGTTTTTTTTTGTTGTTTTGTGATTTTGTTGCGATTTAACTACCCCTGATACTCAACTTCTTGTACGCAGAG